CATTAAAGACTTCAATCCGTCCTACTTCAAATGAAAGCATAAAAATCGCCATTTGCACTGATTCTCTTTCCTCGATTTATTCAATAAGATGCATTTTCTCGAAAAACCCACTAGTCCAGGAAATCCACACTATCTGTAACCAACTATATTCTCCTAACATAAAAGTCATAATGATCTGGACTCCATCTCATGTTGGTATATTGGGAAACGAAAAAGCAGACCAAGCCGCTAAAGCAGCATGTTCTTCTGACATAGCCTTCCAAGAGGTCCAAATCCATACGGATCTTAAAATATTTATAAAACAAAAAATCCTCAGCTCATGGGCGGACCTGTGGAGTAAAACAAAAACTAAGCTCCATGAAGTTCAGCCCAACTTATCTCGCGTCAATATCTCCTCTATGAACAGGAAAGAAAAATCAGTTATTCACCGACTACGAATAGGGCATACACGTCTCACCCATGGATACCTTATGGCATCAGAAAACCCTCCAGTATGCCACTACTGTAATAACGTCCTTTCCATCAAACACGTGATAGTGGACTGCTGCCAGTATGACTCTTCCAGAAACAAGCACAGCCTAAAAGGAAATCTAAAAGACATTCTCAGTGTTCCAAACCGTTTTGACAGTGTTCTTAGATTTTTAAAAGAAACAAGTTTATTTCAGCTAATATAAACAGTGCATAGTGATAAGCTTTATTGTTCTAACCTTTCTATAAAAAAAATGTTCATATTAAATTCTTGTACCTTCTTCTTCTTAAGGTGCCGTGCATTTCTGCGTAGGCGTCTACCGTACATCGTCTTGTCAGGTGAGATGTTAAATATTCTGGTTTAAATAATTCTGTTTTTAGCAGCATTGCGAAGCATTTCATAGCTGTGGATTCCTGTCCATTGTCGAATATTGCGCAGCCATGACATTTTTTTACGTCCGAGACCTCTCCTACCCTCTATTTTCCCTTCGAGAATCAGTTGCTGAAAAGTGTATCGTTTTCCTCGTATAATGTGCCCCAAGTATGCAGTCTTCTTACTTTTTACATAATTAAAAAGTTCCCTATCCTGTAAGCCCGCTCTTCTGAGTACTTCCTCATTTCTGACCCTGTCCGTCCATGATATTCTGAGCATTCGACGCAGGCACCACATTTCAAACACTTTAAGTTTGTTAATGGAACTGGCCTTTAACGTCCATGCTTCCATTCCGTACAGGAGAACAGGCCACACGTAACATTTAAGCATCTTGTATCGGAGATTGAAGTCCAATTTGCGATCAGTCAGAAACTTACGAAGCCTCAAAAAAGCATTTCTGGCTTGTTCAACTCTGCTCTTTATTTCATTCTCGGGGTCCCAACCCTCATTCAGCAAACATCCCAAGTATTTGAATTGCCTGACTTGTTCGATTTCTTCTCCAGAGACATATATCTTTGCGTTGGGGTAATCATTTCTACTTATAATCATTGATTTTGTCTTCTTGATATTTATTTTCAAACCCCGAGCTTCACTTGCAAGAGTTAGATCATTTAAAAGGCATTGAAGATCTTCGATGTTATCTGCCACTATGGCTGTATCGTCGGCATACCTGATGTTATTAATAAATATGCCGTTAACTTTAATACCCTTATTAGAGTCCTCCACTGCTTCTGCGAAGGCTTTTTCTACGTATAAATTGAACAGCATTGGGGACAGTATACAACCTTGCCTTACTCCTTTTTTAATGGAGAAATCTTCTGTTTCGTTGAAATTTTGAAGACGTACTGTTGCTGTCTGATTCCAATACAGATTCCTGTACCTATACCTATATAAAATATGTATAATGTTGTAAACTACTGTACCCGTGTCAATGACCATAAGCTGTCGAGACACGTTAATTTTAAATAAAAAAAAAATCTTTTTATTTCAGACAGTTTTATTGTCTACGCTTCCATGCCGTATAGTAAAGTAAGTTCTCCAATTTTATGAACGTATTTTCTGTCATTTCTATTCTAGATCTGATCTAGAATAGAATCTTCTATTCTTTTGTTTGATCTCCATCGTCGGTTAGCCACGTTCCTAAATGTTGTTACTCTTTCGATCGTTGTATAATTAATGATCAGGTTATCTACATTTTGTGGTTTTTTGGAGAATACCATTGATTTCGTTTTCTTGAGATTTATTTGCAGTCCATACCTTTCACATGCATTGTATACATGTTGTATTATGTACTGTAGATCTCCCACTGTATCGTCCGCATATCTAATATTATTAATGCTGTTTCTGTTGACCAAAATACCTTCTACAATATCCAATAAAGCTTCTTTAAATATGACTTCACTGTAGACGTTCAATAAGAGTGGTGAAAGTATATACCCTTGTCGAACTCCTCTAAGTATACCTACTTCCCCTGTCAGTTCTTCTTCCACTCTTATTCTTGCTTTCTGATTTTGATACAGATTCGATATAATTTGTAGATCTCTACTATCTATGTTTTGATCTTAATAATGCTTAAAAGTTTTTTATGTTGAACTCTGTCAAAAGCTTTTTAAAATCTACAATCTATATATATCCTGATTCATATCCAAACATCATTGTGTCCGACAACATTGACTCCGAATAATGCTTCTCTATTTCCTAGATCCTTTCTAAATCCCATCTGTGAATCACTTATTTCTTGTTCTAGTTTCATATGGATTCTGTTATGTATGATTTTAAGGAAGGTTTTCAATGTATGGCTCATTAATGCAATTATCCGACAGTCATTGCAATCTTTAGCATTTATGATTTTTGGAATCGTGACAAAAGTTGAGAGAAGCCATTCTTTGAGCATGTGTCCCGTCTTGTATATATAATTAAAAAGAATATTATAGAATTAAAAAATCCAAGATATTAATATTATCTTCATTAATTATCTTTAATAGTTCAATTGGTATTTTATCGGGTCCTAGAGCTTTTCTACCTTTTGTTTGTTTTATGACATAAATAACTTTCTCTTTCATTATTTCTGGTCCCGTGGTTTCTCCGTCAACTTCTAATTGTTCTCTTTTTTGGTCATAAAATAGGTGTTTAATGTATTATTTTCATCTACGTAATATTTTACTTATAGTGGTATCATCTGCATTTGTTAATATCCTCATTGGTTTGTTATGATTTCCTGACCTCATTTCTTTAACCTTCTTATGGGTGTTGAAAATGTCATATCACATTCCTCAATTTCTTGACATTTAGTGAACATCCATGTTTCCTTAGCTTGTTTTATTTTCTGTTTCATTTGTTTATTAATTTCTCGATATTTAATTTCATCTTTGTTTTTATGTATTCTTCTTTCGTCCATTTTTTCGAGAATTTCTTCTTTCGTGTCATCCATTTTTGTTTGGCAGCTTTTGTAAATGTTAATGTTTTTCATCCCACAGTCTCTATTGTATTCTTTATATTCTTTTATTTTGTTTTAATATCTGTAGTGTTCTTATTTTGCTGTTTTATTTCTTGGATACTCTGATTTATTTTATTTCGAGTTTCTTGGTATGTATTTGGTTCTCTTAGTTTATCAAGGTATATTTGTGGTCTAGATCTTTTTATTATTGGTTTTCTCAATTTTACATTTATATTTGCTATTACTGAGTTGTGGTCCGAGGTAACATCTGCTCCTGGGTAAGTCTTCACTACTGTTATAGAGTTCTTGTACCTGTTCCTTATCGAGATGTAATCTATCTGATTTCTTATAATTATATTTTTGTTGTCTCCAGGTGCTTTCTACGTGTAGAGCCGGCGATTTGGTAATTTAAACATTATATTCATAACTACCAGTTCTTCTGTTTGGCACATCTGAATTAGTCTTTCACTACGCTCATTTCGTTCTCCCAATCCATACATTCCAACACAACTCTCCACACTTCCTCTGCCCACTTTGGCATTGAAGTCACCCATTAGTATCAGAACTTCACGTTTTTTGTTGTTTTCGTTATTGTTTTCAATTGCTCGTAGAAGTCTTCTATTATTTGTTCCTCCTTGTCAACTGTTGATGAATACACTTGAATAACATTCATTTTCCCTATATTGGTGTTAATTTGTAGCGTCATTATAATGCGATTCGAAAACGGGGTAAAACCAAGTACGGATTTATCTATTTCCTTGCTTACCATTATGGACACACCATATGGGTTTGTCCTATCAGAATATCCACTATAATAGAGCTCCGCTTCTAGTCCGTTGTTTTCCAGACAATGGCCATTGTACATCGCTTATTCCTAGAATTTCGATATTTAATCTTTCCATTTCTATCGCAGTATTATCTACTTTACTTGATTTTAGTAAGCTTTGTACGTTTTATGTTGCAATTCTCATATTTCCTTTTGTGATATTATTTAAAAGTGTTCCATTATTTACATCACAGGAAGTTCGCTGGCTTAAGACCTGGGAAGCCCTGTGGCTAACTTGTGATTTACTTCCCCTGTCGGACCTTGGTTTCGGCGGCCCATTATCAATAAGGTTACTCATTTGAAGTGAAAGTGACAGCAAATATTTACTCATTTGGTTATTGCTAACCATAATAATTGTACTAGGGATGCTCTTGTAAGCCTTTACTCCAGTGGTTCCCCTGGCCTTCTGTGGCCCTATGTCGTTGACCATCTTCTTGGCTCATCTGCCTTTGAGATTGATTTCTCGATCTATGGACAAAGGAGTGCCCCTTAGTAACAATAGCTACTTTAATATATTATTCTGAAGCTATTTTCTTGTGGCATTTTAAAGTATTTATTATTTTAATGGAAATAAGCCACAATTAAAGGCTAAAGTTAGTTTATTGACGTTTCTATTTCCACTCCACATATCGTTCTTTTTCTTCGATGACGATGAGTAATAAAAAAATATAATGCTTAAGAAGAAAAGCTGACGAAATCTGTAAAATTAAAGCTTTGTCAGGATAGGGATAGGAGATAGGTTGTAAGGTTTTACTTTATCCAGTATTATGATTTTTTGTTAGTTTAGAACTAAAACTATTTTTATTATGTTTTCAAAAAACTGTGTTCTCGAAAAATTAACAATCAATTTATTTAAAATAGTCATTATAAATTACAGAATAAAATATTATTAGTCTACACATACGGATCACCAAAAAAGCTATCCACCAATGTTACCAGACGGTTCAAATATTCGCCACGAGACTTTATTTTTACATCCTTAATAAAACTCCCAAAGAACTCGTTACTTTCTTCATCAATAAGTGCTGGAATTTCATTGTTTTCAAGATATAAGAGCTCCAAGAATGTAAGTGTCAACAGAAAACCGGAAGGAAGGTATGTTTTTAAATGTTGTTCCAAAGTACTTCGCGGAAATAATTTGTCGGCATCACTACCTAGTTCATTGAGAAATAAACATAATGCAATGTAGTAATATTCCACAAAATCTTTTAGTTTTGGAAAATCAGATGATGATAAGTTGATGTAAAGAAAGTAGGATAAATCGATTATCGGTGAATGAAGACCAGCTGCTTGGAAATCTATCAAGACCATGTGCAGAGGAGTAGTTGTATCGTTATCCTAAAAAAATAAAAATACAATAAATAAAACTAAGCAACCAAAACTGATTAGGGAGTCTTAGTTATATTTCGTAAAAAAATTGGGGAGGTTTTAGGTAATAGTTAGGTTAATAAAGGTTTTATTTTTAATAAATAGCCCATAGGATTGCTAAAATGGTAGATAATATATGCGACGAATGAAAAATACAGAAATAATTTTAGATATATCTTACTAAATTGCAGATTAAGCAGGATATGTAGAAAAATAAAATGCAAAAAATTAAGTTTTAAGGAGATTTTGAAATCTTCCCTACAAAGATACAATATTTGATTATTTTTGCTACTAGTATATCGTTTTTTTTTTTTAGTTTTTCCACACAGGCAAATTATGATATTAGATAAAATACTGCCAAAGGAAATTATGCTTAGAAACTATTTTCCAGAATGCAGAGTGAGCGTATGATTTATCCTGATTTCTTGTACATAATTTGTTTTCCGATCTACTGTTACAATCCTTTTACAAATGACAGTAGAAATTATCTAAATCTTGGCCATTGTATTTTTATATACACTGTGTCAATTTTAAAACTTACAATGGGCTATATCTCAAGAACAAAAGGTGATATCGAATAATGCTTGAAACTATTTCTAGGATAGTAAGGGGAACTAAAATGACATGAGAGATAACTCACCCCCATCAACCGTCACAAGCGACAAATAATGATAATATTTTGATCATTGGCTTTACACTTGGTGGTATAGATGGAACCGAATGCTAAACGAAAATGGACGTGGAAATCTCCCGATAAAAAGACGAAAAATAAGATCGAATACTTCTTGTGTGGGGACAAATACATTTTTGAAGATATAACTGCTCCCAGACAATTCACAACTGGCAGCGATCATCGCCTTTTAGGAGCAAGGATTCTTGTTAAACAGACGAAAACCAATAGAACCAGGCCACATAGTTATTGTAATCACATGGATCAAACTAAAATGCGATAGAAGAGAGATGAGTACAGAGTTTTAAGACAAGAATTTGTAGAACATTAGCAACAAGAATATTTCGACATGAACACAATTAATAAAGAAATGCAAGCAAACGAAAAATAAAAATACAGAATAAGTGATGGAACAAAATGGTTGATGAAAAAGAGACGTACATTTTAAAGTGAAAAAAAGCGAAACACCGATGGTTTCAAAGAAATAAATAAGCAAATAAAGAAGGGAGTAAAGAAAGATTTAAGTATTTACAATGAAAACAAGGTAGAAAATAACAGAAAACAACTGGGGCCTGAAATGATTAAGATCAAACTTAGAAAAGCCTATAATAATGTCATTGAACGATAAAGATGAAAAAAGTAGAGGAAAATAATGGGAATCATAAAAGTTACTCAAACATTTTACTCTGATTTATACTCCTCGAACAAGAACCCAGATAACACTGCAAAAGAAGATCTTAAGAGAAAGATAACGAATGTCAACTCAGAAATACTTCCTAACATAGAATCCTTCGAAGTAAAATAAGCTGTAGCACATCTAAAGAACAATAAGGCTCCGGGTCCAGATGGAATACATGTAAAAATATTACAGGAGGAGAGTGAAATTATTCTCGAAGAATTCAATCTTTTTTTCAAAGATTGTTTTCACAGAGGAGAAGTTTCAGATAATTGGAATGAAAGTTTGGCAATACTTATTTTCAAAAAATGAGACAGGGGAGATCTGAACAACTATAAGCCAATCTCCCTGCTGTCCCAAATATACAAACTGTTTATAAAAGTAATAACTAACAGGTTAACGTCGAAGCTCGATAGCTATTAACCGGTAGAGCAGGCAGGATTCCGAAATACATACTGCGGATCATCTTCTTACAGTCAAAACGCTAATAGAGAAAGCCAATGAATATCACTTGAATTTATACATTGGCTTCGTTGATTATGAAAAGGCATTTGACTCCATAGAACTTTGAGCAATAGAGAAAGCTATGAACAACTGCAGGATAAACTCCTGATACAGAATGCTCATACATAATATTTACAAGAAAGCTACAATGAAAATACAAATAAATGCGAAAACCAAAGCTATACCCTTACCCATCAACAAAGGAGTTTGGCAGAGATATGTTATCTCACCAAAGCTATTCACACTTGGACTGAAAGACGTGTTCAAAGACATTAACTGGGCAGATAAAGGAATAAATGTTAATAAAAGAAAACTGAGTCATTTGAGATACGCTGACGATATTGTAATGTTCCCTACAAGTTTCGAAAAACTACAAACCATGATGACGCAACTATTTTAAGCTTTGGAAAAAATAGGTCTTAAGATGAACTTAGAAAAAACAAAAATAATGACAAATATACCGAACATTAGAGAAATAACGTTGAACAACAAAAATTTAGAAACAGTAAACGAATACATCTACCTGGGACAGATAATAAAAGTTAACGAAGAATATCAAACTGTCGAAATTACTAGAAGAATAAGGGTAGCGAAGGCAGGATTTGGAAAACTGTGTTGGATTAAAAAACTAAAATAAAACAATATTTAAAAACCAGAATTTACAATCAGTGTATCCTCCCTATACTCACGTATGGTTCACAGACGTGGACATTCACCAAGTCAAGTATGGATAAAATAGTCAAGAAACAAACAGCGATGGAAAGATCAATGCTCGGGGTATGACGACAAAAAACAAACAAACAAATGGATAAGAAGCAAAACCAAAGTAAAAGACACAGAAGAACATGATGCCAAATTAAAATGGAGTTTCGCAGGACACAATGTTCAATGGACACCATGGTTAGAAAACAGAGGCAGAAGAAGACCACAAATTATATGGGCTGATGACATTAAGAAGATCGAAGGACACAACTGAAAGCAAGTAGCGCAAAAGAGAAAACACTGGATTGATTTGGGGGAGGCCTATGTCTAATGTTAGATTACTTAAGGCTGAAGAAGAAGAAAAAAGAAGAAGCTGTAGATAGATATGGCAAGAAGCGTGGAAAAAACAAGAAATCATTAAAAAAAATTCATATTTGGTATTGTCAAGAAAAATTATTGATAAAATCGTATTTTTTTGGTACTTATTGAAGATAAGGCGACTTTATTGCAAAAGTTGGCAACACTACACAAAATGACGACTTAAAGAATGTACTGGGAAAGTTTGGCATAGGGCAGAGAAACGAAAGAGGAGACCGTTTAATCAAATTTGCTATCACAAACAACTACTCTATCATGAATACTCGACTTAAACACCATGTACGTCGACTTTATACTTGGAAAAGTCCTGGAGATAGATTTAGAAATCAAATAGATTACGTCCTCACCAATATTCGCTGGAGATCGTCCATTCAAACAGTCAGATCATATCCAGGGGCGATATGAGGATCCGATCATACTCTCCTCGTAGCTCAAGTAATGCTTAAACTTAAAGTACCCAACAAACAAAGAGAGATAAAGAGGATAGAACTAAGAAAGAAAGACGACCTTCTACAGGAAGTACAGAAAAGTATGCCCTCTATTCATAACGGAACATCACAGGTAATATGGGAGACTGTTAAACATTGCGAAACAACACCAGTGGATCGCTCAAAGAAAAATAATCCGGTAATACGGAAACACTGGATAACAGATGAAACTCTTATGATAATGGAGAATAGAAGAGATATTTGTAAAAGTGGTGTACATAGTGAAAGGGAAAAAGCTAGTTTAAGAAACCTCAATACAAAAATAAAACGAAGATGTAAGGCCGACAAAAAACAGTACTATCAAAGTATATCCAAAGAAATTGAGAGACATGGTCAGAATAATCAGCCGAGAGATCTATTTAGAAAAATACGCTGCCTGACAAGAGACTTCAGAGCCAGAACTTGGGCCATTGAAGATAACACTGGAACCGTGAGAACAAACAGAGAAGACATAGCAGAGACATGGAGATCATATTGCAGGGACCTATATAAAGATGATTAACGCCAAGAGCTTGTTAGCCAAATCTCTGACGAGGTGGAAGAAGAACCTGATATACTCGAAAATGAAGTCAGACAGGCTATCAACAAGCTCAAATATAACAAAGCACCAGGTCCGGATATGATAACAGCAGAAATGCTTAAGGCCACAGAAGAACCGGCTTAAAGTTACTTCATCTACTCTGTAACCAAATATGGCATTCCAAACAATGGCCTGAAGACTGGACAAAATCTACAATCACGACCATACATAAAAAAGGCAGCTTCCATAAATGCGACAATTATAGAACTATCTCTCTTATATCCCATGCCAGCAAAAGACTACATATAATCAATAAGAGACTGAAAACATTCCTTCAAAGAGAAATTTCACAAGAGCAAACTGGATTTACCAAAGGTAGAGGCACGCGAGAACACCTGCTGAATATAAGACAGATAATCGAGAAATCTAGGGAATTCAACATCCCACTATACCTACATTTGTTTTATAGATTACCGTAAAGCGTTCGACAGGGTCAAGTGGAGACACTTATGGCGAATACTAAAAGAAGTAGGCGTACCACAACATCTAATTACGCTTATAACTGAACTATATGAACACACTACTGGATCAGTTAAAGTACTTGACACACTTTCGAAAGAATTTCATCCAGAACGGGGTGTCAGACAAGGATGTATACTATCTCCACAATTATTCAACATATATGGGGAGTATATTATGCGAAGAGCACTTAAAGCATGGGAAAAGGGCATCTCAATAAATGGTCATAAACTAAACAACCTACGTTTCGTAGATGACACAGCCCTTCTTGCAAATAGTCAAGCAGAGCTGATGGAACTTATACGACTGATCGAAAACGAAAGTCAAATATTTGGTCTGCAATTAAACATATCAAAGACAAAGATTATGATAGTGGATAGACTATACAACAATCATCCACACATAACCACAATTAACAGGTTCGAGGTTGTGAGCTTATACTTATATATGGGATCATTAATCACAAACAGAAGATCATTACAAGAAGAGATTAAACGTAGATGTGATCTAGCCAAAGTTGCCACGGCAAAAATGACCAAAATATGGAAGGACTGTCAAATTTCAAGAGTGATAAAGATGAGGTTGGTCAACTGCTTAATATTCCCAATACTATGTATAATGAGTCTTGGACTATAAGACAATCGGAGAGAAGAAAGATAGACGCCACTGAAATGTTATGTTGGAGACGAATGTTACGAATTCCTTGGACCGACCGTAGAACAAATAATTCAATTTTAAGAGAGCTAAAAGTTAGCCGACGACTCTCTAGTAATGTCCGTCTCCAACAATTAAAATATTTTGGGCATGTTATGAGAGCAAACACAGAAAACATGGAAAGACTCATAATACAAGGAATGGTAGAAGGCCGAAAATCACGAGGAAGATCCCCAACAAGATGGATAGACCAAATTACAGGAATATGCCAAAGACCTATACATGAATTAAAAGAAATGACCAGAGACAGAGATCTCTGGAGACGGACAATACACGACATCACGTCGACCACTACACTCCCCCTGGGGGGTCAGGATTGAAGAGAGAGAGAGAGAGATTGAAGATACGAGATAGTAAAAATATTTTGGGATATGGCAAATAGTAAAATGAGAAAGAGCACATAAAGGAAAAGATGTTTAATTAAATTAGTGCCCTAAAACTTTTATGGAACTTACCTTATATTGAAACAACATATTTGCATTGTGACAATCAGCATGAATTATTACTTGATCTTTGGAAGTAATATTCAATATTTCTATAAAACGATCAAAAATACTTTTTTCATTCATAAACGTTTCATATACAATTGACAAATCAGGTCTTCCAGCTTCTTTTAATTTTTCTACTAATGTGGGGGTTTTTGTATCGAAGAGCGTTCGAAAGTTTTGCATCATATCTTTAAATAACGAAAAACAATTCTTTGAAATTTTTTCAAAAGTATCTTTCTTTTGATCGTTTAATGCGAACGACAAGGCATGTAACTTTGCGTAAGATCTTAATCCCATTTTTAGATGTGCAATGTTTAATGGTTTTTCTCTTGGATGCAACGTGTAGCTGTTTTTCTTTAAGTTTTGCAAGATAATTACTTGATTTTCGTCGTCTAAAAACGTTTTGTAACATTTGGGTATCATGTCAAAAGGAACGCGAACATTTTTCTCATTCTGAAATTCCTGGAATGCTTTAAGAATTTTACTGTAAAAAAATACTTCCCTCTTACAAAATTCGTGTACTATAGGAAAGTTTTTGTCTGGTCCATGATTCTTGTTTGTTTTTATGACCAGATAAAGAACGTCTTTTCCATCAATCGGTTTTTGTAGATCTACTGAAATAAATAATATTTCTCCTATATAACCTTCACCTTTTTGCGTCGTGTTTTCAATTACAAAAGTGAAGTTTTCGGTACCTATGGACTGCTGGATCCAAAAACGTACTGCTGCTTCGTTAAATATCTTAACCATCGTACACTTTTCAGAAAACACTGTAATGATTGCAAACTTGTGGATACATCAACCACAATACCTGATATTTTGAAACAATCGCTATTAGATAATCTTTATCGTTTAATAGCAAATACTAATTATTCGGTTTATTTAACACTAATGACAAAAAAAGCGCACAACATTGTGAGATATCAAAACTATTTTGATATTTGTCACAAATATACTTAATTGCATATGCGTATGTATCAAATTAAATGCAAGGCTTATAATTACTAATAATTATGATGTATCTTTTTGCATACAATTTCTGACACATCAATTACTCATTATTACAAGCAACATGTCAATATTTAATTATATTGGGTACTTCTACTACAAAATTATCCAAAACGCAAGCAAATCTTATCATTTGATTTTATTTCTTTTATTTCGATTGAAAGTTATTCCATTCAGCCCAAAAGAAAAACTACACATTCAAAAAATTCTACAAAATTTGAAAAGATATATGTGATAAATAGAAATATTTTGACAAATTTTCAGTTAACTTCTTGTTTTCGTTTTCGAAAAACTCAAAAAAAAACTAATTTTTTCCAATTACAAAGCGGGAAAGCCAGACATACAATTTTGTTAGTTTTCTTACAGCACAAATATGTAATTCTAAGAAATACTCATGAATTTTTTGAAAATTTTTAAATGTACAGTTTTGCCACAATAGGAAAAAATAATATGTTCCGGTTTATAATAAAGCTAAGGGTAAGAAACCGGAAAAAACTTTAATATCAACATATCAACCGATTTAAGTGAAATTTGTTATCTTGTCATTATTTAGTATGCTTAATATGAAAATAACATTAGTTTTACCATTGAAACTAGGTGGCGCCACCTACTATAACATTGGTTCATTAATGTGGCCATAATTTTTTGTCCACCATGTATAAACATTCTAGGGAAAAAGATTAAATAACATTAAATTCTATACAAAAAGGAATTTTTGTTTCAAATCAAAAGAGTACACAGTTCTCGAAATAAACGTATTTTTTAGAGTCGTGTCTAAAATGAAAAAAATTTACAAAAACTTAATTGTAAATTCAAACATTATTCAAAAGGTCTTGAAAACCAGTGAATATTAAATGTATTAGTAGTAGATCATTTTTGCAAACAAAATGCATATGATTGAAACAATTATTCTTATTAAACCTTTTAAACAGTAACGAATTAAAAAAAAATTAAATTAAATTAAATTAAATTAAACAATAAAGTAACTATAAAACAATTGACAAAGTAAATAATATAAAACGGAATAAAAAGAATTCAATCAGTGATCAAAATGTTCACCATTAGATAAACTACATAATCTAAATCTCCTATATAAGTTTTGTCTTATTTTAAATAATAAGTTTCTTTGGGCCCTAAGTCAGTTAACTCCCTCTACAATATGTTTCGTAACCATTGACAGTTATTATTTTTTTTATAAACTAGTAACTTTATGTAGCTCCGCAAGTGAAAGTCTAGTTGATTTAGTTCTGGACTGCGTGCTGGCCATGGGTGTACACTACCTCTACCAATCCACCTTTGAGAATAAATTTCATCTAGATAATTTCTAACTTCTAGGCTATAATGTGGTGGTGCACCATTATGCATGTACCAAGAGTTATGTCTTATATTTAGAGGTAAGTCTTCTAAAAGAGTTGGTAAATCTCTCAAAAAATTTAGATTCGTTACACCGTCAAGCCTAGTTGGTAATTCAAATGGTCCTAAATACAATCCCCAAATATGCCACACCAGCAGATATTTATGGAAAACTCATGTTAAAAATGATGTTCTTGGAATGTATGAGAATTTTCTGTGGCCTAGTTGTGGCAATTGTGCCAGTTAAATACATCTCTTCTAGTAAATGTGACTTCATCAATAAATAAAATTTTATTGTAAAACATTGGATTGCCTAAATGCAGCCCTATCATAAACTGATTAAATCGGAGCCTTGCTGGAAAATCCTGTGGTAAAAGATTCTGTAGTGAAGTAAAACGATACGGATATAGATTTTATGCCCGTATTATTCTTGACACCGTAGACTTGTTTATACCAGTGGCCGCAGAAACAAGCCTTGTACCGGTTTCTGGATCTTCTGCAACAACAACAATTTCATCCTTCATGTCCGCAAGTCTTACTTTTTTTTATTTTCGGTATTATTTAAGAAAGTTTTTAGGAAAATTGTAAGTATTAAAATTAATTTAAAATTTAAATAAAACACAAATAAAATGTTTAAAATATATTTATTTCGTTGAAATATACTCGCACCGCACTTGACAACAAAATAGGCTACTTCATCTATTTATCGAAGACGTTTCGCTTTCTAATTAGAAAGCATCATCAGATCATCTAAAAAGAACAATATGAAAAAGCCACGCATCCATATAAAAGTCAATATAAGTGTGTTAACTCAAAAATACATGTAGCAGTCAATGTTATAATATTTAAATACGTAAAGAAGCTTAAGACGTTAGACATTGAATAGTTGTGTTGTATAAACAATTAATTGAAACTAAATCCAGTTTACAAATTAACTTAAACTTAGAACAGCAAAAGACCGTGTGGTTATTGTACATGTAATTTAAAAAGTATGTAAAAAACTTATGTAAAAACAATTATTTGTCAAGAACTAACAGGATCATAAGATCCCACTTCCAACAACTGTTGGAAAAACCTCAAAGACAGTAAAATTTTAAAATTTTATAAAATGAACTTGCAATACCTCTTATAAATTCAGAAACTGGAAAAATAAAAAAATAATAATAACACATGTGTACCATTAAAAAATTGAAAATGGAATTTGGCACAAAAAACAGTTAAAATTGCAAAAAAAATGATATAAATAGTTATAAGACCAACTTTCGTTTATAAAAGAGTTGTATTTAACAATTTATTTTTTTTAAATAAGATTTTTTAACCACAAATTCTGACAGATGCATTCACGAGGTATTGCCTTTAGGCCATCGAAATGATAATATAGGTAACTGTGACTTGCACAGTTTTATCAAATATTATCCTAAAATTTAAACGTTATAGTCTCCATTTGATACATTTTATCTATTTTAATGCTACTTATAGCTGCAAATACTTTGTAATATTTTGTTTATTTACACAAAACCTTTTAATACTTTTAAACATAATCATTTATAAAAACCTTTTTAGAGTACACCAAATCTTAACAAAGATATCAATCAAAAGATAATTTTACTACATTACATTACAACTTTCTGGATATGATTTAAATAAATGTGAAGGTTAAGATTAACATCGGTGATGATGACATTATTATTTTATTGTTTATACAAGCGAAATATAATAGGAGATAAGGTATTATTTATTCATTTTTTATTAATATTAATTAAAACCTAAGCGACACACTCCTAATAGAAAAATAATCAAGGAAGAGTTAATTTAATTTTTTTAGAAAAATTATATGGCAAGTATTTCAAGCTTATGACGATTGTCAGGTTTAAGTAACCAAAACTTTCGAAGAACTCCCGGAATTTCACCAGGATGGGGGTCTTAATCGGATCGAATCCTGTTAAGTTTGACCCTTCTCAGTGTAACATCTTACTTTATTATATTTTGATATTCGTATTGAAGAGTATATAATTTTTTTGGTCTCCCTGATTACAGAACTTAACTTTGGATTTGGCAACACCGCTTTCCAATCGAGCAGGGCCAGCTCCAATATTGATAATGTTTGATCTACTATACTACGTTCCACGTTAAAAAAATAACATTGCGGAGATAGGGCCATGTATTTCTTATGGACGATAGAAACGCGGCGTAGCCACGACACACACAAGCACAATTTAGGGTTGTATAATTTGTGTTTTCGTTTCCACAGACATGAAGTAAATTAATATTTTTAATGTAATTGACCAAAAGTGCCCATTCGAAACAAGAGATGAAAAGTAGGAAAATGATTTTAATTAGATAAATAGTATTTACAAAAGATAATTTTATTTTATCTTATTTTAATTATAGTAACGACAGTTTATTTGCTTTTCGGTGAGCCATGAATCATAGAAATCAGTAGAAAATATTGCTTAGTTAAATCATGCATTTTGCCGCGTATTAAAGTTTTAAAAGCAAATAAACGGACTTGGAATGCGTATATCTAATTACTAATTGCAACTTAAAATAATACGATTTGCGTATGTCAGCGATTTTATGTCGTTCTTTGACTACATAATGATAATAAGGCTTTTATTTAGTAGTTATTCTGACTTTACAGTTAAATGTTAATTGAAAATGAAAATTCAAAAACTAAGCAACGAGAATATCCTGGACATCCGTGCAAAAGAGAGTGTCTGAGAGTTTTGGCAACACTGATCTCCATAAGCGTAATGTTATTTTCTTAACTTGAAACAAAGAATAACCTTATTAGGATTTCTGTATTTACACTGCCAATTTTAAGTACTTTTTTAATATTTTGATTGTGTTTCTCTGCACTTCGTAAAAACACTCGGGTTATCGTCATGCTGTCAGTATTATTATTTTAATTGGGTCTGAAAAAATGTCCAAAGACCATACAATACCAAACTATGCTAAAATAAACTGGTTGAAATAGTGCCCCTTAGATAAGCTGGCAATTTTCATGAACCTTCTTTTTCTTCCTTAGCTTTTTCCTTCTTAGGTTACTATTCCTGTTACCTCTGTTTCCCTCATTTTCTAACAGCTGTATCCTTCATCCCTTATAGCTCTAATCTCTGTGTTTGACATGACAAAATAATTGCAGTCTTTGTTTTTGAACCTTTTTTGAGACTTTTGTCACCTTTAGTCAGTTTCCCTAATCACGTTGTTCCTGATCTTGTCCCTTCTAGTTTTTCCCAATATCCGTTGTAAAATTTTAATTTCAGTTACCTTCGTCTTCTTTTATTGAACCCTCCTTATAGACTTCACTTCACCATTGTACATAAGGCATCACCACACTCTTGAATCTTTTTTCTTTTAGCCCTTGGTAGAGTACCCTGGCAATTCACTTTTAGTTAAACCAACCACCGTGCACCTTGAGGACAAATTCTGAATTTGGTGTTCCATTTTCGG